TCTCTCTCTCTCTCTCTCTCTCTCTCTCTCTCTCTCACACCAGCGGGCACTCGCACCAACTGTCGCCACCTTCGCCAGCGGGCACTCACACCAACCGCATGAGTCGCTGCACATCATATCAGTGGAGAACCACCAGGGCGCTTGACACGACCGACGGTGGGGTTCCAGACACGAGGGAGTCGTTGGATCGTAGCAGCTAGACATCTCTTACTCTGGTTTCTAAATAAATTGACTATATAAGCATCGGGTAAAAGCTATATAATTACAAAGTATTACTTAGACAAGCTGAGATTGACGTAGATTGCTAGTAGTAATTCTATCTTAACTAATACGAAGAATCTTATATCTACTCTTTCCTCAAAGTTGTACCGTCTTCCTCAACATGGGCACACATGTTCACGAGGTGGGATACTTGTCGATCGTTACTAGATTTTTCATGATCTAAATTCAACCAATGTCAATAACCAATCAACACGGTTACATCATTCACAACCAACACCAACTTATATGATCCAATATTGATGATCAGACCGATGATATGTATTGGTCGGACTGCTATTTGATTCCTGTACGATATCAAGGGTTTTTAGGACAACCTTTAAACAGAAGGATACATCCAACTAGGTTTTAACATATAACTGCATATCCTAATCAAGGTGAAGTTGAAGAGTAAGTCAATTTTCCAAAGGTGCACAGAAAACAAAAAACAAAAGTTGTTTATGACAAGGAAGACAAATTAGAGCTAAAGGATCATTACATAATATATGTGGAACAAAAGACTTGAGATATCATACAACAAAAGAACTGAAAGATGTGTCTTTCACAATGTATGGTGTTGCTTGAATGGAAAAAGTATTATTTGCAGATGGACTACAACTTACAGAGGCAAAGCTTACAGCTTGATGTATATACCTTTCATGTGCAGGAAGCCAGCAGCAAGGCACCAAAACAAGATCTCCAGTAGAACAAATGCCAAAGTGCCCCATCTCTTGGAGTGGAAGATGGTCTGGAGTATTGACTCTGTGGCATTCACCTGCAAGGGATTTTATTTCTTATGCAATGTCAATAATAAAGCACAAGGATGGTTTTGAAGTACATCAACAGAAGACAAATCAAGCTACATGAAGCAAAATTTCTCCGAAGAAACATGGATTTTGCTGAGGCACAAATGTGGAAATCTTATGATATCGCCCGTGATCTATATGATAATGTAGATGCAGATGCAGATGCCTCCAGAAGATGACACAGACGACAAAAGGAAGACAAGAGGGCAGATAACAGGTAAAAAGGTTATCGAGTATCTCTTCTATATGGTGACTCGTATGTGCATCATATATGTGTGAAATTATCAGTTAACAGTTCAATTAACTCTATAATAAAAAAGACGGTCATTCAATACAAGAAATCATGAAGATGACCATAGAGAGGCCCTGAAAATAAATTAAACTGAATTCCAAATACCATACTTCTCCTTCGCATTGGAAAGCAGAGTGCCACCCAATGGTCACACTCTCACACAGTACTTAACAGATAATCCTCACAAAGAATGGGCCTAATGTGGTTAAAAGTTAAAACAAAGTGCAAAAGGACTGGAAGGAGTAGTCATTGTTTCTGTTTAGAACAATCCATAAGAAAGCAATAGTACATAGTTGGCAACTGTAATTTTGCTATTTCAGTAGATAAGGCATCCTCAGCATCGAAACATCATTGAATGTCAAAAAGTTGTCAGATAGCCAAATGATCATAAGATACAGTAAGATTTACGATGATCAAATATGAGGCCCAAAAAGAAGCATGACTGAGGACCAAAAACATATATATAGAGGCATAAGTCACCCTTTACTGGGACTTCTGTAACACCAAAATCATCGGTAGGTAGAAGACTTCAAATGCTGAAACTAAACCAAAAAAAAGAAATGTTTACAAGTGCTTAACCAAACAATACAAAATAGGTTACTGAGACCACATAGAAATGTTCCTTTCTTTTCTTTAATCCTGACAAATTTTGGATCAATATGCCAAAATTCTTGAGCAAAATCACCTTGACCACCAAAATTAAAACTCCACAAAGCCAATCAAACTGGGTTTTATACCTTGACAGGACAATAAATAAGCACTATATATAAGCGTGAATAAGAGAAGGAACCCATTAATTTCTTAGGAGGAGACAAGATGACAAACAAATTGTCCCTCTTTTAGTAACAGTGTAATTGTCAGAATGTATGGAGGCTAACATTAAAAAAAGCATTTGTTTTGTCCACCAGCACCTAAAAGGAAAAAGAGCAAGATATACCAGGTTGTTTTGTGGTGAACGCCAATAAAATCCTTGAATAAATGCTGGGAATAGCTCAGAAGCAGCTAAAATATAAACAATTAGTGCATTCATTCCCATCCACTGGAACAAAATAAAAGTCATTTTTAACTGATTTACATCGACCTGCATAAACCACAAGAACAGCATTTGATAAGAAACAAACTAAAGCCATGAAACAATACATTACACTTAATCAATTACATCAAATCAAACCATACTAATACAAGAGCCATGGAAGAATCACTGAGAGCAAACCCAATCGTCAGAAATTTCATTATGAATAAATCCTCTGATGAACAAATTATGAGCTGCGAGCATCACGTGAGGCTCACAGGGAGCTCACCTCTCCGTATTTTTTGGCCTTCCAGCATTGATCATGCCATGAAAACTCAAATAGAACATCATCGACATCACCTTGTTGGAAAGCACCCGCCATCAACGAGGATGGACATTTTTTTCTGGTAGCTTTTAGTCACATGAATCTAGCTGAAGGGGCATTTTGTCGAAAATGACAAATGTTGCGTGGCATGTTAACTTAGAAGCCATCAAGGGGAAGGATAGAAATAAGCATTATATCATACTTTTTTATAGCAGTGGAATAAGTAGGGGTTAAAAAATCGTAAATCTAACTAAAATCTGCAACATAATGGCTTGGTCACATTTATCAGCTTTTACACTATATTCAGAGAAGAGGACATCAATACCAAAAACTAAAATATTAAGAAGACGTTGCTACATAAGCTTTTAGGTTTAAGTTATTATTGCCTCTGACGCAAGGTTGATTGAATGAGTAGACCTGGAATGAAAATTGGAAAAGAAAAATTAAATTTCAATCACATTGAAGTTGTTTGTCAATATACATTGGGGTTACTCCTTGTATTGGTTGATAAGAAACAAGCAGTAGATTTGTTTTTGCCTTTTGGTGAATCTTCTCTATTGCTCAATAGATATTTCAATACCCAACATGGATAAGTTTGATGTCTTTGGAGAAGAATAGATAAAGCAAAAGTAGCATCCTGCCATGAATACAACTGCCTATACATAAGAATTCAGATATACAATGTCTATTATCATATTTGTCTATGGAATGTGTATTAACATATTATAAGGATAAACTAAGCATCAACACAACATCTCCCAGTTACATGAATACAAATGCCTGAAATTTTCAATAAATGAATACCACAAACTCACAAAAGAGCAGAGAAGAAAATGAACTTACAATGTAATATATTAGAATAAATAGAAAGCCCGAAGCTCCTGCGGTAAGAAACATGTAGCTCAATGTGTACAATGGCTTGCTAAAAGGCATACCTGAGAGAAATGAATTTTTTTTGCAATAAGTAGAAGAAATTAGATGTCCTGTGAAAACAATTTTAATGATTGCTTACGATACCTGATAGTTGCACAACAAATGCACAGAGCACAAGTATCAATGAGGTGATGGACCACAGCAGAATTCTTTGAGCATGACTCTACAGAAAAAAAAGCCCAAAACAGACAACAGAATCTAGTAATATCATTTCAAATCCGACATAATAATTTCTCCAAACAAACATTTTCATAGACTCAATAAGACAGAGCAGCAAGTATATCGTACCTTAAAATGCACAATTAGGTGCCCAAAATGCAATCCAGCAAAGCATGTTACAGCAGCCATCAATGAACTGAGCATCCACAGGAACAAACAAAAGACCAGAAATTAATTCTCATATCAGAAAGTATTAAATAAAACCACACTCATCATTACTAGCATGGACAACAATTAAATATAAGTTACCAGAAAATGGCTCAGGAAATGCAGTGAATGCAAGATGGACAATGAGCTAACTGTTGTTTTCCCCATGATATGTTTAGCAAGAATCTAGTTTCTTGAACTTGTTACTTCTATCTTAAGGTAGTATGACTTGGTAAAAGACTCGTCTGTCTATAACTTAACTGACCTTAACAGACCCTCAGGATCAAATGGGGCAAGGCACCATGCGGGTGAGTTTGGTGGTAGTGGCCCATAATCTGGAGAATTAGCACTACACTCCTGCAAAATAAGGGCTTGAAAGTTCTGATCAAGACAAAACATGTTAATTGGCATATGATGAGTGCCAAAACATGAGTAATCTGAAAAAATCTACTACTTGAAGTTAAAGAAAAATTAGCTAAAAACCTTTGTCCTTTTATATACTGGATTATGATAAAGGTGTTGTTGACCAAGAAGAAGCCGATCTATTGAGCCAACAGCATTGCAAGGAGGGCTGAGACTACCCCTTACTCCGCATTGCACCTACAACAAGAAACATGAAAGATGAATAATAAACCTAAGTTAAGAGATGCTTCAGTAATTCTGATACCAACTAATAAACATATTTAATGCTTATAAAATGGATTCTAAGAATATGTTCATGACGGCCAATTGTTACGGTTTCCATTTTTCTATTTCTCAAAATATTCTTTTTCCTTTTGCATAAAATACAAATACCATTCGACTGAAGAGCCACGTCTAGTTCTTATATTCAAATATAGAGCACATGATCATTACATTACAAACAGCATATCAACGTGGCTAGTCATCCGAAACATACTGTTTCTATTTTGGTTCCATAATAGGAACTTGATAGGGTGGAATTGCTGCCTGGAGCTTCGAATTGCCAGTTTGGAACATAGAGAACCAGAAGCAAGCAAACGTACGTTGCAGATATTAGGATGGCAATTATCCTATAACCAAAAAATGGATCAATCAGTATCTACTTCAGTGAAATCTAAAAAAAAAGGTTAATTGACTTAATTTCATTGATAGAAAAATTATACTAATTACAAGTAAGCTCAATGCATCAAAGAAATTTTAATCCATTAAATTACACTTTGAATTATTACAAATAAAAAATTCTCATCTTTTAACTGACTGAATAAACCCTAGAGCACTAGATACAAAATATGATGTTCTTCAAGACCGCACATCTATGACAGAAGGAGCATGCTTAAGAATATAGATTAGGTTCGAATTTGAATCTTGATGTGTGCACAGTTTAGTCTCAAACTCAACTTTGAAACTGAGAGTCCATAGTCACAATATTTGAGAGCTGATTGACACCTAGTCAAGAATGTTGTCTCAACTCTCAAGTGCTTAAGAAGTTAAAGAAGTAGAAGGTCCATCAAAACGTTAAAGAATACTGAGATTTATAAAAGCACTTAAGTGGGTGCCATATGCATAGATGAAAAGCAGTTAGCAGATAGCAAGCACACATACAGTTGTCATGATCCAAGGAATGTATCTGAATTAATTTGACATTTTGTATTACTAAATTTAACTACAGAGTTTCCAATAAATAAAATCACAGTCTACAATCTGTCTCCTAGTCTTGTAACCTTAACTCTCTATTCATACTCGGGCAATGACAGAACAGAAACTCAAACATTTATGTAAAAAAAAATCTTAGTTTGAATAGCTCAATCAGGATAGTTACTGCAGATCATTTACATACCAAAGATGCAGAGATAAGAATTACAGTTAAATAGAAAATCAAGAGAAAATACCAAATTAGTCTCCATTTTTTAAAGAACAAATTAGTCTTCATTACTAAGCATTGAAGATTCCTCCAATATGAATGTTGAATCTCTAAAATAACTACAAATGACTGACCATTCCATGTAGTATTTCTTCACATAAGACATAGGAGAATCCACCAGTATACTGCTAACGAGCCAGACCTCAGACAATGCTGCTAAAAAATATCCAATTGATATCCTCTAAGAAGCATAAAGACATAATCAGACAACCTTAAGTTAGAGCAGAAATAAAATACAACAGGAAATCAGAATGCCTACAGCTCTCTTATTTACCAGATAATGTTTAATCAGTTGTACCTTGTCAATATATTTAAAACTAAAAAAGAGCAACTCCAGAAACACTCCCAATTCACTAAAGCTAGATAAACATAAGTGAGTTGTTAGCATAATCTAAACGTTATTATCTAAAATAGATAATTTATCTTTATTGCTAATGCATAATTTTTTTATTAAGAAATAAATAATGGGAAAAGTTTCAATAACATGATGATCACCACATCAACACAAAGAAACTGCACTATTAGAATTTCTTTTTCTAAATAGTTAGTCATTGTTATGGAAATGGTGATGGAGCTAAATAGCTACATCAGATTATTTCTTAGTGTTGTGTAAATTGATAAATATATTCAAGTTTTATATAATCATAATTATGCATGTAATAACTGCCCACTAATCCAATCTCCTAGTGCTGCGTTTGAAGCCCTCAATAACACCATATCTATGTTACATATTTCTGCATGATATAATCACACAGGAAAGGAAATTCTCTACATTGAATCCCAAGTAGATTTCTGCATCGCACCTAAATCTTCCTTTCCAGTTTAACTAAAGAAAGGCATCAAGGTTAGTTCAGTTTTGAAATCATACAAGTTGAGTTATGGATTTTGTTAACAAATTATCTTTTATTCTCACAAATTAAAGGAAGGTTGAGGAAAGCAACTAAAGGAACAAGTTAGAACATCATAAAGAAAATTGGATATCACTCTTTTCATTTGATGAGATTATGACACACCAGAAAATATACTAACTAATAAGAAAAGAGGAATTGACGAACATAATATTGTGACCTACCACTACAACTCGGCTTAATCATTTTAGCCACTTTGACAGACTTGCACAAGTTACTGAACAAGTAGGTTTGCGAATGTTTATCACATCAAATATGCATAATAAAGATTTTGTTGGCTAACTTCTCTGGGTGAGATTTATGGACATTATAAACAGTGAGCATGTGCAAATTAGCATAATCAACCATGCGCGTATGAACTGGTGAGATTCAATTCATATTCTGTGAAAACCAAAAAGATGCCACGAAAGTTGTCCAAAAGGTACAGAGGAGTATTCAGTTTCATCATAGACATTAGCTTAACATTAACACAAGTTAGCCTAGACTAATGATGCGATTTAACAGTATCAATTAGTTACAGCTGGTTAAGTCTCAATCACCAAGATTACCTGTAATATACCTAACCACCGTATTCGATCTATGTCAACTCCATACGTCAAATGATTACGGCCATGAAAGTATCCACCTAAAAGGAACAACACATGAACAAGAAGAAAGTCCAATTAACTAGTTGACAGTACATATAAAACTAAACTTAAAAGAGTCTTCAGAAGCTAACAAAAATGCTACCACTTGTGCGGACTATAAAAGGGAAGCAATACAGATAATACATTGTGTGCATGTAACTGGTCATGCCCAAGGGCAATAAAAAACGAATAGAAAAGTGCATGTAAAATCAGTCAGGAAAAAAAGCTAAGATAACCTTGCAGTACCAACCCCAAGAGGAAGAGATTAATCGTCCTCAATATAACCTTCTTTGTAGCAGACATCTTGTTTGGAGTTTTCTGCAAAAACCCTAAGCCCTGGTCAGCAATATTCTTTCTAAACAAAAGATAGTAAGCTATGCTCTTTCGGCTATTTCGGCAAAATTTGCCGAAAGAGCATAGGTGACAAGAGACAGTAACCAAAATTCTTTCCAAACAAAAGATAGTTAGCAAAAGATATTTAACGGATTATGTAACTGTTGATGGATAGGGAAAAATTAAACGCTTTCATGAGAAGAAACCTACTAAACACTTATCCCAGAGTTTCTTGTCAGATTAATGAATTGGATTTAATGCGACCCGGAAATACAAATCACGACGCCACTCAGAGACATGTCGAAGAAGGCAATTTAAGTAGGTAAAATGGAGAGGAAAGTAACGAGGTGACTCAAGATATGCGTAGCGAGGCCTTGTTACGAGCAAGGAAAGAATCGATGACACACCTTAAAGACCAAAGCCACTGATACGCCGACGCTGAAGAGGAAGAAGGGCATGACGAAGTCCGCGAGCGTGGCGCCGAACCAAGGCGCGTGATTGATCGACGGGAACGCCCCGCCGGCGTCATCCACAAGAATCATCAGCTGAAGAAAACATCATCAAACGGGGAGAATTCGAAAATTCTTCTGCCGCCCTCAAAAAAAGGATAAAACCAACCGAGGGTTTCAACACAAAGAGAGGATTCGCTCACCGCGACGGTGAGGCCGCGGAAGACGTCGAGCGAGGCGAGCCGCTGCTTGGGATCGGAAGGGGCGGCGGGGGGCTCCGGCGGAGCCGCACCGCCGGGGAGAGGCAGGAAGGGGTCGTGATCGGACGGCCATGGTCGGATCTGATCATCTTCAGCGACGGCTGCGGAGGGAGGAGATGGAGAAGGGAGGAGGGGAGCTCGTTCCTCTCCGTTGACTGGGACGACGGAGTCCATCAATTTGGGTTGGGGTCTGCCTCCTTCCTACGCGACGAAGGAAGAAGAACTATTTGGTAGGCAAAATTGCACATATCGTTATGATTAATCTCTATTGCAATTTGAATTTTAAATGGCATTTTTAATATAGTTTAAAAATATACATAATATTCATTAAAATATCAAAGAGATTTAAAAAATATTTAAATATGTAATTTCATATTTAACTAATGCTAATTATAGTTAAGCAGAATCTAAGTGAAGAATTTTATTATTTCAAATATATATATTATACCAACATTTATAAGGACAGATATGCAATTTCAAAATTTTAGAAGGATAGAAATATAAAAATTCCTTTTTAGTGTTAGTGGTATAAATTCGCCATCACTTAAATGAAGAATTGTTAATATTGGAACTATTAAATTGAATGATGTTAACTTCGACTTGACAAAGGGTAGCACAAAGAGAAATTTATTGGAGTCCTAACGATATCCCGTTTCTCGGCGTGCCGCTTGTGACCCTGTAGAAGGTCGAGGTCGAGGAGTGATCCTAAGTTAGTAATGTTCATGACGTATATAGCAAACAGGGACGCAGAAGAAGAGAGAGAAAGAAACGAGAGAAAAGCTGGAACAAGAAAACAGATTAAAATCTGAGAGCTTGAAACTGCTCAAATGCTCCCAAACAATAAAAGCCAATCAAGACTTGCAGGATGTCAAGAAAGAGACCAAATTAAGCTGTGGAAAACAAGGTAATGGCAGTTGCCTCAGCCCCACAGACATGCAAGACAACGTAAACAAGACGTACTCACAGAAACATTTAACCACATTGTTTCTCTCACTGGCTCTTAATGTAGAATTTTATTCTAAGAGCTTTGTAAAAATATAAAGTTCTCGCTTATCTGTGTATCTCCTCTCTCAAAAACATAAGATCGCGGAACGAGACATGGCAATAAAAACAGACGATGGCAAACTGTCCCACGGCCACCCAGATAAAGTTCTGATTGATACACCAAAAAATTAAAATGGGCAGTTTCACTTGAATCAAAGATCATCTCCTAAATGCACTATAATGAGACACGAAAAAACTATAGTCTGGATGATCTACACGAAGAAGGCGAAGCCAATTATCTGCAGCTTGAAGCAGAGAGCTTGAGATCTGTCGTTCGTGCAGTCCATTAGATGTCCAAATAGAACCTCTGAACTTGTATGAAGCAAGCCCAAAGACAGGCAACGTTAACTTCACAGATCTCTTGACATCTCTGACAGAGTGAGTTCCATGAACCTCAGACTGTGGACCAGCTCCATCTGTCAACAGAAACCAAAAAGGGCACATTAAGAAACCCAGAGCAGTAGCACTTTCCAAAATATCCCTCTTTATTTGCACTGCCATCACACAGTAAAATCCCTCTTTGATCGGTGTTGGAGCCGATAGAGGAATCTCATCTTCTTATCCTGTATAGTGCTGACCCTCTCAACACCATCTATTATCAGGAGCATAATACTCTCTTGAGAAACCGATGCTTTAGAAGTTGTTTAAGAACCTATATGTCAACACCTGCATGTTGACTTTTAAAAGTGCAGAACTTAACAAATTTGAGGTCCCTCGACATGGTTGTCACTCCAAATGGCCCTGTCCCTTAGGCAGTGGAACCATGAACCATTGAATACTATCCTATGCAATAAAATTTTTCATCTGAGCAGAAGTACAAGCAAAGAACTAATACAATTTGGATGAATATTGAATAGTTATTTGTATGTCTCCAAACTCTAAAATCAATTTTATTATCGATAATTTGCATATGGCACATATAGAGATCACTAAAACAATGATAACAAATTGGATATAAACCTGGTTCTAAATTTGTGAATAACCGATGCTTACTTTTAGGAGATGACAGAAAGTGAAATGTCAAAAAGCAAGCATCCAAGTCCCTTAATGTTGGTCCCATTGGTATCCTGTATATTGGGTACCTGCAGCATAAACATCAAAAATATTTTACATGATTAGCATGAATACATCTAATAGATCATGAAAATAAATATCCAGGGCATATAACTTCAAAATTTTCCTTTATGAAGAAAGATGATGAGACTGGTCTGTTGAAGAATCTATGATTGCATACCATGCAACAGACATCCAACTCAATGACAATAGATCACAGCTTCTATATGTCTTCAGATCTGGAAATTTACTTGCAAGAACTGATATCTGCGACACATCTCAGTAGGTGTAAGAACAAAAAAATTCAGAAATCTCCATTTGCTTAAATATTCAAGGCTAAACTTGCCTTGTCAGCGAGAGGTTCCCTTCCATATGGTGGATCCCGCTCTAGGTACTCAAATACAGGACGAGTGGCTGGGGTGCAAGCATCACCATTGTCACCTACAAAGTCTCCTTGCACATTGTGGTTGATAGTTCCCAAGGATGTAATTCTTTCCTGTACTTGGTCCACTTCACTCCCACAACTGCTATCGCTGCTAGTATCTGGGAATCGATCCCTGTCACTTGCCACACCAAGTTGCTTTAAAATGAGGAACAGAGTTTAACTCAAAATTGTTTGTTTATGGTTTCACACAAAGGGAAAAGATGAAAAGACTGTTCCACATTGTGAAAAGGAAAAAGAGACCAGTTAGTCTTATGATGCTACTCTAGAAACAAAGCAAATGCCGATAGAAGTTCATGACATAGACATGCTTTCAGACTATGTCTCCCAACATTCAGATAAGTACTGAATCAACTGCCAAACTGGTGTACTAGGAATTCTGTCATTATCCTTTATCTAGTGCTAATATCTTTTTTGCCAACAATCTCCTCTTACCTAGTTGAGTACATATCTGGAAGTTACTATGACCGGCCCTTCACGGGTGATCTAAGAATCCTCTTTCATTACTCCACAAATACCCTTCAATTGTCTCAAACTCGAAATCACATCATCTAGCTACTCTTTTTACCAAATCATTATAATGTGTAATTATTCTTAAATTATTGTAAAAATCAATCCTCAAGCTAGATATTCTTAATAAGTACTATTCTTAACATTTTACCATCATCACACCACTTCCAAAACCTTATAGCCTGGAAACACTCAACAAAGATAGTTGACATTCAAAATCCTTGTGCGCCAAAGTAATCACAACATACACGTCTTTGTGCCCTTACTGTACACAGATATGTACAGTAACTTACTTCATTAACAGATATGTAAAGTTGACAACCAAAAGATGATAGATATGAGCTTAGACATAGCATGCAAGCCAACAACTTACTTCATTCATTATACATGCCCCAAGGTCGAAGGCTTTGAAATAATAATAATCATGCAAAATCAATAATCACAGTTCATAAAACAAGACGAGAGGATCAAATAATAGAAGTACATGTTTGAAATTTTGTTGCTTTTACAGTTCTTTATAAATTTTCTGCAGTTATTGATGCTTCAAAACTTAAGAGAAATTATCATTTTATCTTTGTATGTCATATTATCTTCTAGTCCAATATTTAGTCATAAAACCAAGTTAAGCAAAACTCTGCAACGCCAACACCTTACATCCAGACACATATGGAGATGAACTCGTTTGAATATTAGTGTCATTTTTCTCTTTATTCCAGCTGAGCAAAGATAGCACAGGTTACTATTCGAAAGTTTTCCTCATAATAAGCTCACTATTTGCTCATCAAACAAAAATGTTAATTTAATGAATGCTTTCACATGATGCACTTTCCTATAATACAAATGAGTTTCTTCTTAGTACACATCAAGTGCATAATATGGAGACATTGTTCAAACAATCAACAAGAAAGAAGAATGAATTTGCACTGATCCTATTCTATTTAAGGTGGCTTCTCCCTATATTTCAGCAGCAAAATACAAGGAAACCATTGCAGCTATGTGCAAAGGACAAACCACAAGCAATCACCAAAACAAGAGCAAAAATGATTAATATCCGACAGGAACCATCAATCATGCTCAAAACTCTTGAGGTCCCTAAAGGCCAAAATAATCCAGTTCCCTACTAGCCATATCTCACGCAATAAGAGCAGAAATGTCTAACATCAGTTCATCTCAAATGATCAGAATGATTGTCACAAACAAAAAGCAAGAACTAAAACATCATTGAGCACTTTGAAACCTTAGGTTAGATTTCGCACAACTGAAGAGGTCCCTGGACCAATAAACTGCATTTACTAACATTTCACCAAGATATAAAGAATAGGAAACAAAAGATTCAGAAATTTCACATCCTTTGGTCTAAAAATTATGCTTCAATACTGAAGATAAATGATGTGAGATGCAACCGAGGCGTACCATATTCTGTAAGGTTAGAAGGGGCTACAAGATAAACAGCATTGAACAGAGAAAGTAGCGAACTCATGCTTACCTTAATCTCAAGGTGGCACTCGAAGTGTCCACATATAGTTGGATTGCAGAAAGATACGGCACATAGTACTGAACAACGGAGTCGCTCCCGTTCAGCACCAGAGGCACCCCAGCGCCATAAGCGCTCCACTCCTTAAAAGATTCCCAAAGATCTCCAAGGCAAAAGTAGGGCTGCGATTGCACCGTCGCGGCGTCGCAGTTCCTCCACCCCCTCACGCTCGTCTGTCGCAACCCAAAATGTTAGACCTCCACAACGACTGACATAACAATCGCCCAAGACAAGAAAGCGAACTCCTTTCTAGCGTCAATCTATTGCCAAACCTTGGGCAGATAACGAGCGGGGACGACCGGGGTGGTGAACTCGAGAAACCGGTCGAGGTTCCCGGCAGGCGGCGGCGGCACGGGCGAGGGAGACGAGGGTGAGGACGAGACCGATTGTTTGGAAGATGAATCATCTGATTCGGCCCGATTATCCGCGGCATCACGCGACTCGACCAGCGTCTGCGCTGCAGGCTGGGCGGGCCGGGGCTTAGGCCGCGCCGGCCTGTGCGTCGGTGATTGCTGCTGCTGCTGCTGCTGTTGGAGCTTCTGCTTCTGCTGCTGTTCGATCTGCCTTCTGACCGCGGGCGGGCTGTAGAAGCGATCAACGCCGTGGAAGCGGGCCGACGACGAGCCACCGGAAGCGCCCATTATCGGCTGAGGAAGACGAGAGCGCGAATTCGACGG